TTAAATTTTTTAAAATGATATAATTTTTTTTTGTTTTAGTATTTTGAAGTTGACCAATTGTTACTATAAGCAATTAACGGTCACTGGATATGTCACACCTAATGCATATTACTAATAACTTCGATAATAAATAATTAATAAAAAAAGTAATTTATAATAATAAAATATTTTCTTTATCAATATTTTAATATATATATCCACTAAAAAATTTTGCTTTATATATGTTACTAAGCAATTTTCTTCAAAATGTCAACTTGAGTTTAAAATAAAAGAACCTTTAAAATTAGCTGTGAATTTTTGTTATTTATGATATCAAAACTTAGAACATACTATCTAAAAAATGTTTGTTACAAAAAAAATGATAATAAATTACATAGTGATGGTCATCTAAAATCCCACACAAGCTTGGTTCACAAAAAAATGTATTCAATACAAAATAAATAAATCTATTTATATAGATATATAATCCATTGTTTCCATACATGTGTGTATATTTGTTATTGTTATTCATTCTAAGTATTATTAAATAATTATGGCTTTGTATTTGTCAGTTTTGTAATAAGTGAATATAATACATTAAATTTAAGCATTTCCGATTCTTTTAATTAATAAGTTTGTGAAGATTTTATTGATTTATATAGTAGTACATAAAAACCCAACACATTATGAAAATCATATATATTGCAAAAATATTATTTATCATGTATTTATTATATATTAATATCTACATACAAGCAAAGTAATGATGTTTTATCCATCATTGCATTTTACACTCTCCAGTATATTTTTTGTACTCATCTTTATACTCACATTCATTATTATTTTTACCTTTTTTTTGTGATTTTATTTGTTGCAATAATTTTTTTTGCTGTGATTGTTTTTTTTGTTGTGTGATTGTGTTTGTGGTAATATTTTTTGAATGCCGACCAGTTGTGTCCCGGACAACAGACCTCTCAATGTCTTGTTTGAAAATATCATTTGATCTGTTTATACCAATATCATAACTATTGTATAATTTTTGAAACCCTTGATTTGAACATTCTATGGCACCTTTGAAAAGTTCAGGAACCTCAGGAGTCAATATTGATTTATTGGAATGTTCAAAAGCCTTTTCCAAATCTGTGATTAATTCCCATAGCGCATCCTTTTGGGATTTTATGTTACATTTAGTAGGAGTTTTAATTTTATCACCAACAAATTCACTAAGTAAGAGATCTAAATGATCACGTTCCGCTTGGATAGATTTGATTTGCAAGTCTAAATCATCTGTAGAGTAAATTGCTGAACCAATATTTTGTTTTATATACATAACACCAAATTGCTCAAGTGCTTTGTTGAAGGCGAAATAATGACCTGGTGAAGTTAGATTAACAGAAGAAACATATTGAAGAATGCCTTGCAAATTAGAATCCTTTTGAACATTGTATATGTATTGTGTAACAGATTGTGAATAATTGCTTTTACCAGCAATCGGAAAAAGTGGTGCAAATGCACAAAGATTTTGGAACTGAAGATCATGATTTCCATAATGGATTCCTGTTTTATGACCAAGCCAAAGGGCCCACCTACAAAAAAAACAAATACCATATTTTCAGAAGATAATAGTCACAATCTAAAATATCCTTCATTGATATGTTTTTTTTTCTGGCATATAAATGGAGTGAAATGCCTACACCAATCCAAATATGTTCAATTACTCGGCAGGTAGCTGAATAATCAACTACTTTTTCCAATTTTCCAAATAGCTAACTCCTAAATTTGCAGCCAAATTATAGATGCTGTATCCAGAAAATATTGTTAGAAGAGTACTACACATTGCCTTTGATGTGTGCCAAGCACCTAATAAGAGGCGAATTTCTGTCTCTGATTCATTTAACTTATTAAGCTTCCTAAAGATGGACTCATCACTTGCAAGATCTAAATGGCCAGTACTATCTAAACCAATGTCATCATAATACATTCTTGCTGCCGCATGTATATTCATAGTATTATTATGATCCTTGCCAGGTTTCAAAATAATGACATTGGGTGGTTCGATGAGACACCCTATTTCTACATTTTTCCATAGTTCTTCTTGAACTTGTGCAACATCAAAATCTCTTCCATATAAATTCCATAGTAAGGAAAAGGTATTCTCGAAATGTTCTATCTCTTTTTCAGTAAAGGTTGACATACCAACGTGAAAAGAATGTCCTAAAACAAGATCAGAATTTGAACTTATTGTTGACAAAGGATGAGGTAATTTGAATTGAAAAACCATCCGCAATGTAGAATGGGTTGTATGTCTGGTAACATCAAATATATTATTATAACCAAATGTTTTTTCTTGAAAATCTATGTTATCTATCACACACAAATTCCATATATTCTCATTATTTCTAATTAATTTTTCAGGGGTCTGGGACACTTTACCGACACCCACTTTACCGACAGGACACTTTACCGACACCCACTTTACTGACAGGACACTTTACCGACACCCACTTTACCGACAAGACACTTTACTGACAGGACACTTCACCAACAGGACACTTCACCGACAGGACACTTCACTGACAGGACACTTCACTGACAGGACACTTTACCAACAAGACACTTTACCAACAGGACACTTTACCGACAATCTAAGTAAAGTCGAACTTGACGTAGAAATGGTCTTGCGAGGAACACCACGACCCCC